AGCAGAGCCGGGGGGAGAGCCGTGTGCCCCCCCGGGCGAGCTGGGGGCCGTGGGCTGCTCAAGGAGCCATCGCAGGAAGGCTGGACCAGGACGGATTTGCTGTAGGAAGGGCAGGGTGAGAGCTGTCAGAAAGGCAGCAGCCTGAGGAGCTCTGGCTGACGTGCCAGAGCAGATCCGTGGCTCTGGGCCTGCCCGGGGGGGGGGGCAGCACCAACCGTGCCTGGATCGGGTGGCTGCAGGGGGGCAAGTACTGCTGCTCTGCCGACAGTCATCAGACATGGAGGGACTAACCACAGTGAAATCAGAGCTGCTGCTGGTGGGTAAGAGCTTTAGCTGTGCTTTTAAACTGCCCACAGACATTTTTCTCTGAGCATGGAGAGGGCTCGTTTCCCCTGCCCTGCCCAGCTCCACCCCAGGCCAGGCAGCCGCAGGAGCAGGCCTGTGGGCTGGCACCAAGGCTGCCTCCCTGCCAGGGGCTGGGAAACATCCAGGCCTCCCACCTTCAGGTGTTAGTTCTGGTCCAGCAGGCAGGAGTGGGAGGCAGAGCAGCAAATTGGCCTTTTCATGGGATCACACATCCAAGAGGGGAGGTGAGAGGTGGGAGAGGGACCTTCCCACTCCTGCTCTGCCCAGAGGGAACAGCCTGGGAGGGAGTGGCAGGGAAAGGAAGGAGCAGCAGCTCTTCCTTGCCAGCATTTTCTTCTGTCTGAAGACTCAGGGGCAGGCACTGCCTCGGTGGGGTACAGGGCAGTTTGGATTAACCCCAGACACTTGTTTGGAAATTGCCAGCTCCAGGCCTCAAGATGTTACCTACAAAGGCCATGAGAGCTCAGAGTCACAGGCTAACAGCAGCATATGGGCTGGAAGGGACCTCTGGAGCTCATCTGCACCAGCCCCAAGGCTGAAGCAGGACAACCCTAAGCCAGTTGCCCTGGACCACGGCCAGATGGCTTTTGAATATGTCCAAGGTTGGAGACTCCACTCCAGCTTCCCATCTGGATGGTCCGCAGCATGTCCTGGTGCCTGGAGTTGTTCTTTCCCAGGGGCAGGACTGGTGCTTCTCTTTGTTGAACTTCATAAGGTTCCTGTCAGGGCATTTCTCCTTCTAAGTCTTGAAAGTGAGTGAAAGTGCTGACGTGATCTCTCTTACTAGATGAGCTGGGCTTGCTTGGTGGAATTGCACAAACACCTGCACTGGCCTTTACAGCCTTGGACACTGCCAGCATAGGCACAAAGGCTTGTGTGACCCATCCATCCATCCATCCATCCATCCATCCATCCATCCATCCATTCATCATCCATCCATCATCCATCCATCCATCCAGGTTTGTCTCATAAGGGACCTCCTGTGTCTCCCTGCAGGGGGTCCAGCGGGGCAGCCAGGCAGCCCCTCCCCAGGCAGCCCCTGGCTGCCCCCCAGCCCTGTGCCCGCTCTGCTCCCCAGGTGCAGGTGTGGGACACGGCAGGCCAGGAGAGGTTCCGGAAGAGCATGGTGGAGCATTACTACCGCAACGTGCACGCCGTCGTCTTCGTGTACGACGTGACCAAGATGACCTCCTTCACCAACCTCAAGATGTGGATCGAGGAGTGCAACGGGCACGCCGTGCCCCCCCTGGTCCCCAGGGTGCTGGTGGGGAACAAGTGTGACTTGAAGGACCTGATCCAAGTGCCGTCCAGCATGGCGCTCAAGTTCGCCGACGCTCACAACATGCTGTTGTTTGAGACCTCGGCCAAGGACCCTCAGGAGAGCCAGAACGTGGACGCCATTTTCATGTGCCTGGCCTGCCGGCTGAAGGCGCAGCGCTCGCTGCTGTGCCGGGACCTGGAGGGGCGGCCG